TGATGCCTTTACTGTCTTTGGGAAAAAGTACAACTGTTGCACCATGTACCGCAGTCAAACGCATTACTTTTGTGTCAATGAAACAAGGGTGCAGTACACACATTTAGCCACTTGGTTGCAACGGTCGCTGTTGAAGTTGGAACAGATGAGAATTGGTCTGTTTTAGTTCAGAGCTTTAGTTGGAGAAGAGTGGCATGATGGGAGAATTTGACCTCAAAATTTCAACTGCGGTTCTGCACTACCACCCCTCACCACAAGGAGGAATATTAAATGAACCATTTCAAATGTGATCTCCAGGAGAAAGCTGCGAAGTGGAAGACGTGTGACGGTCAGATGGACGGACTGACCACCAACGGGGTCCTGGTCATGCATCCTCGGAACGGATTCAGCCAGGACTCCAAACCGGGCGTCTGGAGGGAGATCTCTGTCTGTGGCAACGTCTTCACTCTGAGGGAAACACGCTCGGCGCAGCAGCGAGGGAAGATGGTGAGGAAAAAAACAAGAAGTGGAAAAAAATAAAATCCCTGTTATTTATTATTACGTTATTTTTGGTGGAGTTTATTTTAAGATTGACCACTTAATAAAAAGTGCTTGGCTCTCTTCACTCCCCCGTGGGAGAGGCCGGGGGGGGTGCGGGGGGGACTCACAGCACAGGCAGATTATCAGGATGCCGTCTCCATAGCAACAGGTGTGATGATCAAAACCGTGTGTAACGGGACCTGGTCAGAGGATCCTCCAGTTGACACCAGAGTCTCAGACCCACCTGTGGCATCACTCTGATTGGATCACAGCTGTCAGTGATCACTGCTTTGACTGGACGTCAGTATCACTGTTGACCACTGTGTGGAGCCAACGAGCTCATTTTACAACAGACAAAATAATGTTACATATTGTTATATTATTGATATATTTAGAAATATTTTTATTAGTACTTACTTTGAACTTTCTTATTGAAATAGCATTTTTTTTTAAATTTTACTTCACAGCACCAGCATGTGCGTCTGAGGCTTCAGATTTGGAGTCAGCTGAGTGGGGTTGTTTTGTTTTGTTTTGTTTCTGCAAGGAAGAAAAACAGCAACTGTTTCCCATGAACACTCTGGAGTCACGGCTGGTCCAGTCCAGCAGCTGTTTGGCCACAGACAGAAAAAGAGTCTGGTTTTTGCAGGACACACGTGAAATAGAGAAATACAGAAGTGAAAAAGTAAACACCGACTTCCGGTTCATTCGATCTGTTCACGTCATCCTGCCTCCAGCTGTTCGTCCCTGGAGTCCTCCTTGATTTACCCCCACTGTCCATATAAAAACATCTGGTGTTATACTGCCACCTGGTGGCCAGTAGATCCTGCTGTCAGACAGTTTAATTTTATTTTCCTGCTTCGGACTTTTTTTTT